AAAATTGTACAGACTGAAAAATATTTGAACAGCTTAATCACTGTGTATCATGTCTGGGTGATGACATTCTTCAGCACTTACCTCTCCTCGCCATGTGGGGCCGCCGGCGTGCGAACATCTCTCACAGCTGATGTAATACAACTTTCCTGCTTAGATCCCTTTTGATTTTGCTTCACTTACTTCAAAGGCAAAAGTCCTTTTACAAGAGAAGGAGAACCACCTGCAGGGCTGTCTCACCCTGAAAAATGTGTGTGTTCATGAATGTGAAAGAAACTGTATGAAAGTGTCTAAATTTGTATTAGTGTGAGTTAGAGAGAATAAGTGTGTGTGTGTGTCTTATAGAAACTCTTGCTCCTCATCTCTGACATTTCCAGGTCACTCAGTTATAAGATGGCTTCTCTGCCTCCTGCCCCCTCTCTTCCTCTTTTCCCTCTCTTTCCTCCCCCTCTGCTTTTCTCTTTTTACCACTCACCATCTCTTGGAGGCAGGGAGGGTGTAAGACAGAAGGAGAGAACTGGATAGAAAACAAAGAAATGGTTTTCAGCCACAGGCACCACTGTCTTCCATCTAGGTTACTATCGTAGGTAGTACGCTAATTAGCCAGGCATGCTAACGTTTGCAGATTATGCCAGAGCAGACAAACTGACCATTTAATCCATTTCTCACACTTTGGCTTTTGTGTATTGGATTTTGGAAAGACTAAACAAAAGACACTACCCTCCAAAGAAGGAATACCTCTCTTACTAAAGCCCCATGTGTTTATCAAAAAGTATTTTGCGTTATTTGTTAAGGCTGATGGTAAGCACAGTAGCCTCGCTCGCTAGCGCCAAGGCTAGCTTGGCTTGCCCCCACTTTGCACGTCATATTGGTTCTCTGAGACTCTCCCCAGGCAGACTTTGAGTTTCTATAGGTGGTCTTTTCTTTCTTTCTTTCTGTTGCCACCAAACTCACTTCCCAGTTTCTTTTATTTTGTTTACATGAACATAAAACGCATCACTTACCGTGCAGATAGCAGATGTCCAGAAGAGTGAATGTTAAAGCTTTCAGGTGTTGCCTCAACAGAACATCAAAAAACAGACAAAGCTGATGCTGATTTTTTATTCGTATATGTAGATCTTGAATAGTTAAAAAAATAAAATAAAAAAAAAAAAAAGACATGGGAGATTTGGGATACAGCATACAGACATATATTTCTTTAGAGGAAAAGTCAGAAACAGTATGTGTAAGGGAAACCGGTTGGAGGAGGGGGAATACACAATTTGTTGTGCTTAGAGCTGAGATGCTGAAATCAGCAAAAACATTTTGCTTCAGAAGAGTTTTGCTCCCATTTATGGCTGCTTTCACTGCACATTCCCTCAGTAACAGCTGAGACGGAAGCAGGCGAGCGCCGGGCCAGCTGTAATTGGTTTGCTTAACCTGCTGAGACTCACAGACACACACATGCAAAAACACACACACACACACACACAGGTGAAAGGTAAACAAAAATGCCATGATGATAGGACAAGCCTGTTTAAGTAGTCAGCTGACTCGTGAAGCTGCAGAGTCAAAACTCTGAGCTGGATTTATACTCCAGAGGGGTGAAGGGGATGAAATATTCAGCCACGCTGCTTGTAAAACACACTTACAGCATTATGGCCTGAGCCAAATTACTGCAGGTGGTTTGTAATATCAGACTGCGTTTCCACCCAAAACCCCATGCGTTTTAGGAAGTGACCTAAAGAATTTATTTGTGATGGGAACCGGAGTCCTTTTTGTGTTTGAGCATTTATTTTCTCATCGTATTTTAAAAAAAAACATTCTGGTTATGCTCCGATTGTTGACAGGAAAGCCTTCACAATGGCTAAATCTTAAGAAGCTCCACCAACACAAATGTAGTGTTGTAGTCAAGACCATGTCGAGACCAAGACCAAGGGAGGGCGAGTCAAGACCAAGACCAGTTCCCCACGTTACATGACACACAATAAAATGTGAAATGAGATCAGAGGTACTTCTCAGATTGATCTGAAAGATCCACATTCCCATTAAAACGCCCACGTACAAACACTAAAAGCTGAAATCAACGTAAGCATCTTTATCCAACGCTCCTTTTCTATACTGACCATCGCGCGGAGGGGGGACAGTCGTTAACGGTAACAACACATTTTTAATTAGGGTTATTGGTTGCATTGCAAGCAATACGTTTTACATCCAATCAAAGTTAGGATGTTAACAAATAAATCCAAAAATGCAAAAGCAAATTAGTGATCTTCCCAAAGTTATGGTCTAGACCGGTCTTGAAATAAAATCCTGAGTCCTCAATGTCCGAGACCGAGACGAGACCGAGTACAAATGCGGTCGAGTCTGAGACAAGACCAAGACCATCGAATAGAGGTCTTAAGACCGGTCTCGAGACCAAGATTGTTCTCGAGTACCACAACACAAGCAACATGTCTATCAACTGCTTCCCATATCGACTGTTAAGAGAAAAACTACACAATAATATACGTTTTTAAAAATCTTTTAGGAAAGGGGCAAATGTAATAGGTTGAGTTTCCCAGATGCGCATGTGAGACATATTGGGTGTTTCTCAAAACCAACAATGCAAAGAATGGACTTGTGTTCTTGGGGAGAACGTTCTTGGAAGAATGAACTTGCAATATTCGACATCTACATAGCTGATTTCTCGCCTCAAATCTTCTCAGAAGTGGATTTAGTGATGAAATAACGTACGAAAATTATACAAAACGTTCTGTTGTTGGCCTCACTCTCAGCTTCTTTCAGTCCCTCGCTTGAATGCCAAAATGAATCCCAGGATATATTTGCCGTCAAGTTCACACAAGTTACCAGCCGATGCATCCTTGGTAAAACGGGCGTGTCAAGAACATTTCCGGGATTTTTAACCGTTCTTGCCAAAATGATAACTTGTGTATTTGGACGGTACTTAGGCCACAAAAGATCACGTTTCACAAGAACACAGATTGAGAGAGGCCCTTTGTCACGATCCTGTCCTGAGGTTGTCTGTGTTATATTATTTTGGCCGTTCCCTCTCTGTCTTTTGATGCTTGTTTCTGGGTTTTGGTTCTTGATCCAGAGGTTTTGGTTTTGTATCTGCATTTTAGTCCTGTCATCTGTTCTGTGGAGTTTAGTTCGCTGTGAGTTTACTTTTTGATCAGTGTGGTATCTGTTGTTTGGTCTGTAAGGTTTGGGGTTTCAGTCTGTCTGTTGTCTTGTATCCAGTCATCTCAGTGTGTGTTTGCATTTTGATCTGGTCCTGTCTGTTTGTGCCTTGTGGAGTTGGTCTTTGTTGTTCTGTCTTCTGCTTGTTCTGTGTGGTTGTTCTGGTCTGATCTGTCCTATATATTTCGGTGTCTGGCTTAGTTCTTGTTCGGTTCTGTTCCTGTCTGATGTTTCCGTAGATTCATGCTTCGGTTCTGTCTGTCTGCTAGGTGTAAATTTTTGTTTGATCATTCTGCTTCAGTCTGTTCTGTCCTCATTAAGCTTATTATTCGGTTTGCCTGTTTGTCCAGTTCTAGTTGTTGTCTTTGTTGTTTGATTCTTGGCCTTTTGGCAACCTGTTAGTCTCAGTCTGTTGTCCCTGGGTTTGTTTGTAGCCTATCTGTGTTGTTGGTCTTTCAGTGTGTGTTTCCTGTCATGTATCTTAGGGTTAGCCCTCCATTTTAGTTCTGTGTCTTAGTTAAAGGGATACTATGCGATTCTGCAGAGTTTGTTGATAAACAAACAAACCAGTCCTACTCTGCTGAAATATAGCATAATACACAGCGTCTGCTGTCCGAGAGCACGTTAGCGTCAATAAGAGGGCATGTTTTAGCAGCACTGTAGAAGGTGTGTGACCACAAGCCTGTCAATATTTAAATATGTAGTGAAGCAAAATACTTTTAAATCTAAGACACGGAGTCTAGTTTATTTATCGGTAAGATTATCGAGAGTAACTTCAATAATTAACAATTAGTGGACAAACATCACCAAACAAACAATATGTGTAAGCTCACAAACGCAGCATCCAAAACACAACAGAGTAAAAAACTAGTGACTGAAAAGGGTTGGAAAGCACAGGAGCGACAGGGCCGAAGTCAGTGCTAACTTTGGGGCTAACCTCCTTCACTCTTTATTCAACAGTTGGCAGCAACACGCAGGAGCTCCTCTTTAGTCCGGAGAAGCTGCAGTCTTTATTCACCAGCCTCTGTAACGTCTACTGTACATTTACTGCTGAACAAGCCTTACTGCTGATCCGTTTCTCTCTATTCACCTGAGCTCTGTTTACACCGGTTCACACACACGCTCAGTCTATTTCTCCTCTAGCACACACTCTGACCGCTGCGGCTAAGCTAACAAAGCTAACCAGCTGGGATTGTCACAAACATGACAACAGACAGACAAGACAGTAATACTGAAGCTGTCGTTTATGTGGAACAGCAAAACTAACGTTCCTTTCAAATCTCGTAGATTTATCCAGCATTGAAACCCCTCACAGATATTAACACAGGTCTTCCCCTCGCCTGGTCATATAACTTGTCTCACAATTACTTAGACCTTTCCCTCTGTGGCTATTTCTCAGTCATCTTCACAGCTAAAGTCCCGTAAGAAGTCCAGCATGTTTGAATGTACCGCTGTTTGTTTACATTCTCTCTCCCACTGCTTCGAGCGCGCCACCACCACCTGCTGCTCGCTCCGAGCAGCTTTGTTTGTGATCAATTTACAGACCCAGGGCTGTGTAGGAAAACCGGATTTTTTTTCAGAGCACACGAAAAACAGAGAGCTAACTACCCATGAGGAAATATTTGCTGAATTTAACAAAAAGTGTATTGGATCGCAAAGTACCCCTTTAATGTCTGTGTTTAGTGTTCAGTAACCTGTATTCTGTCTGTTACTCCAGAAGCGCCTGTCTCTCTCTCTCTGCCTGCCTGTGTCTCGTTAGTCTCATGTCTCTCACCTGTGTATCCTCTCCAGCTCGTTAACCCTGGGTGTATATGCTTGCTTGTTTCCCTCAGTCTTTGTCTGGTCATTGTGGCTTGTGATGCTCTGTCTCAGTCATGTGTGTAGTTGTGTCCTGTGACCTGCCTCATTTGGATCTGTACTTTGTTGGATTACTGTGTTCGTTTTGGCTTGTTTATCTTGGTTCCTTTGGACTCAGCAACTCAACTAGTAAGTGTGCTCGCTTATTGTTTTTTTTTTTTTCTTTTCTTATATAAATCATCAAACTGAACCTGCCAGTATCTGTTTCCTGTATTTGGGTCCACCAACCTGCTCACCATACACCAATCCTGACACATTAATGTAAGTAACTATGTTGACGGCTTTCTGGACAGAAATGTGAGTCCTTTTTTTTTCATTTCTTTAACCTACCTTTCCTTTTTTGTATTGCCAATGTTTGTATCTTAGCTTTCATGTTAATGTACAGTAAGTTAGCGAACACTGGCTTGCAGGTATAGCTAGCTAAAACAAAGCTCAAACTGAATATTTCTGTAAGGTTTCAGGATTATACACAAGCTTTGGTAGTTTATTAGCTTATTTTAAAATACTTTTAGGACTTTGTTATCAGAGCTTGACATTAACACTCACCAACCCGCCAAATGTGGGACACTCCCACTAGCCATGTTGAAAAATTGTAGTCTTTTCAAAAGGCATCTGAAATGACAATCGAATTGCAATTTGACACTACAACTCCCATGAGTAGTAGTGTTTGCTCATTGGTCCATTCGTGAAGCCTATTGTCTTGGCCGACAACACTGTAAACAAAAAGATGCTGTGGGGATTGTGCAATGGATAAGACACATACCTTTTGGTGTGAGAGACCCGGGTTCAATCCCCCACTGTGACATATCCACCATTGTGTCCCTGAGCAAGACACTTAACCCCTAGTTGCTCCAGAAGCGTGCGACTTCTGACATAGCAATTGTAAGTCGCTTTGGATAAAAGTGTCGATGAATAAATGTAACTGAGATTAAACTAGCGGACTGGCCGTCGGACTGAGGGCTGTTTTAGCCTGCTGTCAATTATCAACTTCACCAGCGATAGCAAGCTTTTTTTTTAATAGGAGACCCCAGACAACAGGCGCGTCTCACTCTTTCCTGCGATGCACGTGCCAAATATGAAATCCAGACTTTATCAAACAAAAAGCTGAGTCTGTCACGGGACAGCCACAGTCCCCCAGACCTGTAGACCGTCAGCCTCCCTTCTTGTTTTAACCTGATGGTATGATCTGTCTGGTCGAATGCACACACAACACTGCGTTGTGCGCAACGTCAGTACGCGAGTGTGCGTGGTCGAGCAGTGTGGAGGAAAAAAGGCAGAGCGGAGACAGAGATAAGGCAGGAGGGAAGTGCTGCAAAATTACAGAGATCTTTATGATTAAGGATCGTGGTGTTACTACTAGCAGGGCTGCCCTTATGTCATGTCATATCACGATTACCTTTCCAGAGATAATTCTGTCTTTTAATAAAAGTAATCATGCCATGTAGGAAAGCAGAAGATGCATTTGTAATGGGATAATCTGAAAAAATAAAGACTTGTGTACTTGTTTCAGGTTCCAGTTACTCAGAGCGACGAGAGCTTCATGATGATGAGAATAAATCCAGTCAGAGCTCTGAGGAAATGCAGAAACAAACACTCCAAAGTGCCCAAAACTGAGATAGGCCTACATAAAATTTTAATCCTGTTCCCTTAATTGTGGATTTTTTTTAATATAAAAATTGTTTCTGATGCAGCACTTTCAGTATTTACAATAAAACGGTACTCTTTTAATGTGTTTATCTTAATAGACAACATGTTTTCAAAAAACATAATTTTCTGTGGCTAGTAAAAATGGTAACTTTCGAAAGCCACTAGCCACATTGGTTAGTGAGCAAAAAAGTTAGTGTTTTATGTTGTACCATCAAATGCAACTGGCGGAGAGGAAAAAATCTCAAACATGTGAACAATGAGCCATTTACTTGAGTAAGTTATCTTTACATCATGTCGGTAATTTAATGTTATACAGAGTTTCATGACATCAACAGTGAGCTGGGAGAACAAATTGGGATTTGTTGAGTCCTGAAACAAAACATGTTATCAATTTACAATCTGTGCAAAGACATTAGGTAGATTTATTATCATTATTATACACATCAAATAATCACCAGTGGTTAAGTGAAGGTCAAGTTATCCCCGTATGGTTCCCACAGGAAAAACCTAGGAAACAGGCTGTGTGCTGCTCTTTATCTGAGGTAAAAAAATAAATAAAAGTTAAATAAACATGCATTTTCCAAACCAACCAGTCAGTCTTCAACCTTTCAGTCTTTTCTCTTGTAAAACCTTTATTAAAAAACAAATCTCACTGTAGTGTCACTTGTGCAATTAAGTTTTCTGGTGTGGCGCTCCTTCTCCTCATGGTGCACTAAAGCCTGATGGGCTCATTACTGCCCCGTGAGGCCTGACAGTGTAAAACACACATTGGTACTTGATGGCTGATGGGAACCGCCAAGTAGAACCGCAGTTGCAATGGGTGTTTTTAGCCACAGCGAGCCACAACGAACCATTTGACACCCTAAAACAAACTTTGACAAGTGACACAAAGATTTATGCTTTATCTGAAGTGTGGCATGCCATGAAATGGAAGTGGAATTTTAACCCTACATCTTTTTAAAACAAAAACGAATGTTGACTCTTCTGTTGTCCCATGATATTTCCTACCAACAGTCAGGATTTATTTTTGTATATAATAATGATAAACTAAATCAAACCTTAACCACAGAGGTGCCAGATCAGAAAATGACCATATGTGACGAGTTCATTTTGTCAGCCATTTTAAAATTTAGTCTTAATCTTGTATCAAACTCTAGCTTGTTTCTGTTTGGAGAAATTGAGTACATTACAATTGCCCCTGGTCTCCCCTACTTCACATCAGGACCAATAACAGGGGTGATTATAGAGAAGTTTGTTGTTTCCTAACAAAAATTATAGTGGGATACAAAATACAAACTGGGATCCAGAGAATGTCTAGTACACTAGAGTATAAGTTATATACTATAAGTTACCGAAAAGATCCTGTTACTGAACCAAATAACTGTAAGTTATTAAAACATTACATTATAAACTAAACAAGACATTTTGAAAGCTTGAACGTTGCCTTTGTCTCTTTTGTTCCGGACTGAATGGGCCCCTCTGACAAAACAACTGGCCTCAGTCTGGCCCCCTTAATGAAATTGGTCTACAACCGCTAATGCTCCACAGGAACTTTTTCCTCGCGCACCAGGCGTCGGTCGGCCAACATTCAAAGCACAGGAAGAAAAAAATACTGCTGAATGAACACTGTTCAAGTGAAAATTTAGAGGGAGAAAATATGGCCTGTAATATATTGTCTCAATGTCTAATAAATTTTATTTATATAGCACACTTAAAGCAACCAAGGTGCTTCACGGGTTAAAATACAATGACAAGACAATACTTACACAGTAAAAGTACAGCAATAAAATATTATAATATACATTATACGATATAGTGATATTAAAATTGCCAGGAATAATAACAGACTTAAAGGAAATGCCAAAGAAAAGACATGTTTTTTTTTTATTTTTAAACGTTTGAGAGTTGGAGCGGTTCTGATATGGACTGGCAGGTTGTTCCACTGGTCTCCTTTATTATACTGACAAAAAGAGAGACTTTATTAACATTTTTATTTTATGAATTACATTTTAGTCTAGTCAACAATATTGCATGTTAATATAGTCACAGTCAGCGTTTAAGGACATTGTCGCCGTCTCGTCTTCGTCGGGGGGGGAGGTCGTTGACGAATACATTTCCTTTAGTTTCGTCTGAAGAAAGTAACACCATATGTGAAAATAACTGACCTAGTTAGTTGTAAAGTTTTGAGGGAGTTCTTGGGTACTGATGTCAGCCACTTTCAGAGCTGTGTTATCAAGTGCATAATTAAACCAATTAATCAATGACCCATACATGTACAGTAAGCAGTACAGCTGGTATGATCTAAAATAGGGCTACATTAGAATAAGACCCCCACATCCCTGTGAAACAGGTTTTATTATTACAGCTGATTATTGGGCTCAAAGGAACAATGAGGAGTCTGTTTTATTAGCACACAGATCAATGTCTTTCAGGCTATTAAAAACCTTTTAGGATGCGTTGGGCTTCATTATGCACTTCCTGCGTCCAAATGTGTCGTCTAATATGCTCGACCTCAGGGCAGCTGCTGTGTGAAAGAGGGATTAGTGACCCTGAGAAGGTAATTTTCTGCTGTGGTTCGGCATTACATTTAATGTTTGGGCTGGACTTAACTTTGATGATTTGAAATATGACAAGAGCTGGCTCTGTGGCTTCAGAAACCACAATCAGATTTTATAAGGTTGAGTTTTGTCACTTCATGGATAGAGAAAAGTATAACTTAACACAGAATCAACTTTTTAGAGTAATTTTGCCCCCAAAATTGATGAAAAATCAATGACGAACCCCAGGACTCTTCACCCACAGACGTCATGTTCACTTCCCCCACCATCCTCCCACCCCACACAAAGGAAACACCTTAGATGGCCATCTGATTTCCCCAAACTGGCCTTTTTTTTTTTTCTTTTTTTTTTCTCCAGTCACTAGCCATTAAAAACAATAATGGGGAAAATAATGTAAATATTGCAGATATTTACAAGTGAATCAATGTGTATCATTTTATATATTGTTGAATTCAGGGAGGAATTTAATAGTTATTTTTTGTAAATATTTAAGTCCATTTAATTTTATTAACTTTATTTAAGATTTACAAAAACTGTTTTGATGCAGTGTGATTTTCTAAATTTATGCATGCAATGCATTTGCAGTAAATCACAGTATCTACACTTTTGTGCAAGACACTTTCATAATACCCCTGCAATCACAAATGGTATCTTCTACACCATATGACAGAGTTCAGAAATTCGTACAACTACACTGACAGGAGCCGCAGAGTCTTTGCTCATTTATTTTGTTTATGCTAGAGAGACTGGTTCTGGTCCAAACCTTCAGCCATAACAGATCGATACAGACGCATTACTACAAGACGCTATACAAAATAGGAATAGGAAATAATCTGGAAACATGCGCTGCTCGGCTCAAGCTGCTCTACTACCAGGAAATTGTTTTATTTCATTCACATGACAATAAAACAGACAATAGAGTTA